TTCTGTATACATATTGTATTAAATCAATGTATTTAAACAATTTTTGATTTATGGGCAAGTTATAGGCTATATAATAAAGAGAGGAAATGGATGAGTTCCTGGAGGCAATATATTATTGTAGAGATAGTTTCGCTTAGAAATTACATACAATATCATGAAAGTTTATTTAAAGGATAAAGCGTTAATATTTGTTCTAAAATATTAATTATTAAATGATTATTATTATATGCATTTCCATATTTTGATCACAAACTCTTAGATCTCAAAACATTCCAATAAGTATATACATTTTCATTATATTATATTTCTTCCTCGCCATGAAATTTGTTGTGTACATAAATTATCTTTTAAAACAACTTTATTTAAGCACATTTATTTTAAAATAGGTAGGTATTAATGAATTCTTAAGTCATGAAAACTAACGTATAACTAWTAATAATAATAATTTATATAAAAAAATAAAAATAATTTGCTAACTAAACGAGTACACTTAAGAAAAAGTTAAAAATAAGTCTTTTAATTTACACAACAGTTGACCATAACTGACGAAGAAAAATACAAAAACTATGTTGTGTTGTTCTAAGTATTATGTTTGGCTTTGGCATTTGAGTCTATTGAATAATTAAATTTAAGTACCAATCTATACAAAAACTCTTATATCAGTTTTAATTAAAGACATTTACTGTTCGCATTTTTAGTAGGTACTATGAACTATTACAATTTACAATGTCTGACTGTAGTTTAAGTAAGAAAAACAAATAATAATTTATCTTATGTACATTTAAATATATTGTATACAAAATACAAAATACAATTAGGTATAGGTGGAGTGGCCCACCGCGCAACCGATACATTTCCTGGTGGCCTGGATGCTTATACAAAATGTGGCCCATCGGCCATCATTCTATGTTTCTATAATTACATAATTTTTTGGTGCATTTAATTTTTGATTATAAATTTATAATATTTGATTAAATTTAAAATAGTATGATAATAATAAAGGAATATTGAGGAATCAAACTTATAGCAGGGTATTAGGGTTATTAATAACTTATTATTAGAGCGCGGATTTCTATGCGATTGCATATTTTTTTCCTTTTAATATTTTTGGATTGTTGTCAGTTATGTCCGCGAATCATCATAATTTGAAGCGAATGGTGATTTTTTTTTGCATTTTTGCATATTTTGGCAAAATTCAAAATTTATTGCATATTAAGCGAAAATTTAAAAAAATGTATAAAATAATATTTTGTCAAGTAGAAAAATTAAAACTAAATTTCATAGTCACTAAATAATAATTTATGTATATATTTATTTAAACCTTAATAAGATAAATAATCGATTACGACGTAAAGTAATGCTATGTCAGTCGGTTATCGACATACCACTCGACAATCAGTTACATYGGTTAGGTAGCTCGAAGATCTTTATCAAGACCCGACAATACTAAGTTGCTTTAAATATGCCACAATAACTTCGGTTGACGTCGAACGTTCGTTCTCAGTCTTTAAAAATATGTTAACTGTTAACCGATAAACGACACAGCTTCACAGAAGAAAAACTTGAAATGCATATGATTATTAATTTTAATTAAGTATTTAAATAATTAATTATTATAAGTTTTACTGTAAATTTTAAATAAATAAAAATGTTTGCATATTTTTACATATTTTCATGATTTTGACAGCATATTTTTTTACATATTTTCATGATTTTAGCTGCATATTAGGTATATGGCATAATTCGATACTTATAAGTGCATACAAATCTGCGCTCTACTTATTATCATTCAATATTGTCGTGATCACGTTTATTAGTAGCCGTTTACTGATAATCGTTACAGTGGAACCAGTGACAATATACTAAAATTGAAAAATATGCAAAAAAAAATAAAATAACCATAGAATATAGGTACACGTCATTATGAAACGTTGACAYTTATAATAAAAATTATTCTATGTAAATTGTAGAAGAATATGAATTTACATATAAATCCAAAGTGATCACTGATCAGTGTTTCTTATAAATTGATTGGACAAAAACAATTTTATAAACACATTCCAAAAAAATAATAATTGCGTCGATTTACGAAGAGCTCATAAAAAAAAGGGGGGCCTGAAAATATTGGATTGCCGGTTTGAATTTTGGAGCCACTCCACAACTGAATATAGGTACAATCTTCAAAATATTATGTTATGTAATATATGTGTTGGAATGTTTAAATATGATTGATTAGTTGATTGAAATTAATATAATTATATACTTATACCTACTTTATTCAAAATGCAAGTGTAGGTATCGTAAAATAATTTGAAAACATTTTAACTTTAACAACGGTTTATGCATTTAATACATATTCTACATACAATTCCAATGTACCTATTTAAATTTCACATTAGATAATACAGAATACAGTAGGTATTAAATTTGTATAGTATAAAAAATAATTTAAAATAATTTAAAATAATTAAATTACAAAAATGTTGTCTATTTCTACTCATCATAAAACTATGAAGATTTTACAAATGTTTCATTATAGTAGGTATTTTATATGTATATGTATATATATAAATATTTGTGATGAAATAAAATAGTTAAATTAATGTCAAGATTCAAATAAATTTTACATTTTCAAATTGTAGTAAATATAATAAAACTTATAAATAAAAATGTACTAAAAAAAGTGTACTTATGCAGTGAGCTGTGACTAAGCTGAGATTAAATCTGTATAAGGTAGTGGTACATAATATATATGTGTAAGATGATTCCAAAAAAACGACAACAATAGTTAGGCCTATAATAAGTATTAAGAGTAGCGAAGGGGGCAAAATTTTAACAGTTTTAGGGGTGGAAGTTTTATTGATTGATTGTATAAATTTTTTTTTTTTATCACAAATTGTATGATATTGATTAACGTATATTGTATAACATTTTTTGATTGATCAGTACCTAGTTTTGTGATAGCTGATAATCTTATTAGATCATTTTTAGTTAAATGTGATATGATTATGATAGATAACGTATAAAATGAATTATTACTATACGAGTTCAAGCCGTTCAAGGTATATTTTATGTATAAACTGATTTTTATTTAGATATTTTAGTACAAGTTATCAACAGACTACTCTGAAAAATTGTGAATAAATAAAACGTCACTATCTGGTACATTCTGAAAGTAAATCAGCAATGTTTTGCGTTCCATAAATGCTGTTCAGAAGAATATCCGTATTTGCTTCAAAAGGTTTTTCAAATTGGAAAAAAGCAGAATATAACGCATTGAAAGAATCACAACTCACTAAAGCATCGATCAAATATATGTTACTAATGAACGACCGTGGAAAGAGTAAAAATGTTTTAAATCAACAATTGATTCAATAAATTGAAAATGAGARAATATAATAGATAATTGGATAAAAGTTTTGAAAAGTATTGTAGCCGTAGTAAAATCACTATCGTGTAAACTGTAGAGAATGAGCTTTCCGTGATTACGACTCCAACTAAGGTATTCTCCATAATWGAAATTTTTTTATGGGACTAGTATTAATTTACAAATTTGATCCATATCTATCAATACATTTAAAAAAAAATATGGTGGCTCAGAAAAAGGAAAAAATTCGTATATTTCAGATTATTTTTATTATATCAGACAAGGTTAAGAAAATKATTATACAATAAATTAAGAATGCAAAATTATTCTCTATCAGTGTAGATTCGACTCCAGACATATTGATAAATTGTCATTAGTCACACGATATGTTTATGAAAATAAAAAAACAAGTGGAACCTGATTGAACTTTGTAGACATATCTCTTAACATGTTATTATGTACTTCATCAAGCAATTGTTCTGTGAAGATATCATTTTCTGCTATTAAAAGGTTCTAAAATTATCTGCGGTCTACAATTGGAATGGAACGGTTAAACTCCTTAGCCATACTTAATATAGAGTCAAAGTTAACAAATTAACTTGGGTAGGGGGTAGTGGTAAAATAATTTCACCCTAGACGCATATACTTTAAATGCACCACTGATAATAAGTAATATGGAGACGCGCCTATAATTATAATAATCAGGGCTCGGATTTTAAAGCATTAAAAATAACTGAAATATGTGCTTAAATATGATCTTAAAAATCTTAAAATAAGCGCTATAATATACCCTAAAGACCTGAAAGATAGCAAAAATTAAAATTATTTCTGTTTGAAATTTAAAAAAAAATAAATACAAATGTATGACAAAATATTCTGCTCTAAAATATATAAGTACGGACGGCACAACTGATAGAGAATTAAAAATTACAGTTAGATAGATAAATTCCGCCGGACTTCATTACAAAGGATTTTAATAAAAATAAAAATTTGGGTAGGTATTTACTATTTTTTCTATGGATTCAAATGAAATATGATTAAAATATAATACCAACTTTTTATATTTTTCATACCACATAGTATAAAATAGATTCATAAAAATACAAAATATAACGTTATATTATGCGAATTATCAAAAATAGCCACAAAACTTGAAAAATAACACTAAAAACCTAAAATACTTTAAGTATGCGAGAAATAGCATAATCACACTTTATATTTGGAATCTCTAATGCATAAAACATATGTATAGCTCCCTCTGCTATTTTTATCCGTATCCTACTATAATTATTAGCAAATTCTATAAAATTCAGGCCCTGATAATCATTATAAATAGCATGTAACCTTGATCGCCACGTGGCAGTATATATATCACTATACTAATATTAATATTTGTTGGAATAGACTATGTAGGAATATTGCGTTTAGTGTAAACGGATACTAGTTTGCTGTATTAATAAATAAATATGCAAAGGCCAAAGAGACATCCAGCACTTGGCGCGCGTGTTGATCTTCAATGAAATAATAGCAGGGACAGTGACCATCGACCGAGTCGTTGAGATACGCTGAAAGACCAGGTCTCGTCAGACGAACAGACACAATCAACCAACTACTATAACTATATTATTTAGTATTCAAGTTACATCTTGCTAATCTACACTACATTAATCTGTTTAGTATATTGTGAACTTTTATTGATTAAAATAATTAAAATATCCAGTCATTATTTAWACATAACACAAATATACAAACATACATCGTTTAATTATTTCAAAAAAACCTTCAATTTCATCTAACGACGATGTAAGCTCACAAAAATTGGCGCTGTGGACAKGGTTCAAAAAGAAAATAAATTTGGAAGAAAATCGAGAAAATACTTGAAAGTTTTTCAACATAACTGAAAATTTTAATTTTTTTCCTTTCTGCTAAATTATAAAATAAATTCCGTKAAGATACATTCATTCCGAATCACCTTTGGAGGCCCGATTAACTTCCAGTAACTCCAAAGAAAGAATCCTGCAGGCTGCAGTACGAGACCACTATACCGAATCAATAACATGGAAATGCAGGCATCATCAACAGTTTCAGTTGCGTTGTTGTAAGTATTAGCATTGTTAAAAAATATTGTTGTAAAAGAAATCATTGTTCGTCTCTGGTATAGTATATGACTTAAGTATATTTTAATAAGTGTGTAAAAAAGTTGGTGTTGAAAATTAAATAAATAATATTCTATTCTTGAGGATAAAAATAAATTAATTAGAATTTTATTATTGACAACAAATAAAATTATTAACAATAAAATAATATTTTATTTAAATAAATAGTTGCAGTAAATAATTAATTCAGTTTTTTTTACTCGTATAGTATCCGGMTCTTTTGTTGTTATTTAAAAAAATTGTATTTTTAAAATTTAAAATTTATGTTTATATTTTTATTTTTCAAATTTATTTTAAATATTTAATTTAATTTACAAATAAATATGATGGGCTTTAACAACATATTATGCTCAAATAAAACATCGTCCACTAGTTTATTTTTCTGTTTGCTTTGGTTGTGTTATGCGATTAATGGTGGTTTTTCTGTTGGAGTATCAGTTGCAAATTTAGTTGTCGATTGTCCGCAATACATTTTTAAGATACCGAATCATACATATAAAATACATAAGAAATATCGGTGGTCCGTTTATGGTGACAAAACACAAATAACTACTGAAGCATTGTTCTATGTTAAGAAGATTGGCAACAAAGATCTTGTCGTTGGAGTGTGTTATAGATTTGGGGGATCACATTATAATGACCCTAGAGATAGTGTCCCTACTGCAATTAGAAATTCTATACAAAAAGCTTGCGTTGATGGACCATGTCATTCGGGGCATTTAATACCAGCAAATATGGGTGGTCCAAACGAACCAAAAAATTTCATACCTCAATTTGGCAGTTTGAACTCAGGAAAATGGAGATCATTCGAAAATTATATTAGAAATCATGATGCTGATACTACTTTAGTGTTGATATCACTAGAATACACTACCAATAGTAGACCAACTGTACATGTGCCAAATGATATGGATATACCAGCATTACATTATCAACAACCTGACGTGCTGAACATTATTTGGTTTTCCGATGATAACTTATATCCTGATCCATTGATATATTATTGTGCTTCAGTTCCAAATAGTAAGAGTAATAAAGATGGTGTTGTTATTGAAAAACCACTGTCCAAATTGACTTTGGGACCAGGCAAGTATCCCTGTTCATAAACAAAAAAAATRTTTTGATAGAAATAATTTAAAACAATAATGTAGAACATATTATGCTACTGATATTGTGCTAAATCCATCTAGAGAAATAAAATCAAAATATTATATAAATTTTATACCCACATTAATTAGGTATAGGAAGCTTAAACTTAAGAATTCCGAAAATAAATATTCAATTGAAATACAAAAATAAAGCTAAACTATTAAAGTTAGATAGCGGACAAGAATAGCTCATTATCTTGACGATATTCAAACTATGGTATAAAGGAAGAACATCATTATTTAATATATATCATAATAGGTATTTTATTGTTATCTTTAATCCTTATTTTAGTATTATATGTTATGTATCGCTGTAATATGGATTTAAATAGAGCTTATAATACAAGGATGAGGCATTCGAGAGAACCGCGTAAGGGAAATAGATACGAATAATTACAATATTTAAAGAGTAAAAGCAAATTTTATGATTATGAAATCAGGGGATCACCTAACTAAACAAAGTAACTTAAATTGGTACGATATATAAGGACCTATAGTGCAAAGAAAATCTATGAGGGAAAGGAGATACAAATTGTTAAAGAAGCAACAGTAGAACAAATTGCTGATACTCCTGATAGATTATCGGCAGTTAATTTACCTACCACCAATTATAAATAAATATGAATAATGATTTGAGAAGTGATAAATAGGAATATTGTAAATAAAAAAATATATAAAAATTGACTAATTAATGACCACTATATAAAATATTTGTAGAAAAAAATGCCAAGTGTGACAGATTTACTGCCTACTTTACGAAAGATTAACTATCTTACATTTATGACTGAAAATGTCTATAGGTACACGCTCTATTTTAAAGGAATACATTTAATTATTGTCATAAAATTAAAGAGAATGAATAGTTTAGATTAAAGTCCGTAATTAAAATATTATTATGAACATATTAGGAATGTCGAAAAAAAAATATGAAACACGCTTATTATTAATATACTGCATGGTCTATAATATTATCATATATAATAATCTTAATGTATTTTATTGTATGCCATTGTATTAAGAAACAAAATGTTATGTAACTTACCAAAATTATATTATTGTATTAAATAAATATTAATCAATTATTTTTTATGTATGCAATTATAAATATATATCAACTAATCCTATAACTATACAAATACTAGTCGGTAAAGAATGAAAGTAAATGTGACCAGACTAGTCAATTTATTTAAGATTTTAAAATATTTTGTAAAATTTTGTAAAATTTTCATAATAAAACAGTTATTAAATAGATTGTAAGATATTGCTAAATTGTAACTTATATAATAACTAYGTAATCATGATTTATGTAGCTTTTTGTAGCCGTACAATCTGTGTAGTCCTATAAAAACTTTTTTTTTTGGACTGAAAAATAGCGAGCTGTGACTAAGCTGAGACTAAATCTATATATTATAGTGGTATGTAATATGTGTAAGGTGATTTCAGAGAAACGACAATAATATGTAGTAGAATAAAAAGAGTGGAAAGCGACTGGGGGGTAAGCTGGTATTTGTTGTAGAATAAAAAAGGGTTTGTTAATTATGAATTTGGTGGTATGTCTGAGTTAAAAATTACAACGTGAGTTGCTCTTCCTATTGTACTTTATTCTACCACAATATATTATTAGATTTGGTGTGAAATCATGTTTATTTTCATGTATGTGAATAAATATTCACTTACCWCTTTATGTTAATGAATGTATTATGAAGATTCCTCTGGTTGTGTATCTCGGTGGTGTAATTCGATGAACGCTTTTATTTTTTACGATTTTATATTTACTCTATTATATAAAAATATACTTATTTCGAGTATTACTTATGTTGGTGTTATATATTATATACTTGAACACTGATGGTGTTTTTAATTTAACATCTTATGGTTATAAGTGCATTAGTGCATAATGGATTATAAATAGTGTTTGTTTATTCGATTCWATATTTTAATTTATATGGCTGTATATTSATATTGATATTCCTTTAGAAGACAGGACATGAGAATCCTAAAATTATACTCTATGACCCCTGACCGTGTTCGAAGTTCGAACCATCAAATATATTATTTCAAAGTTTTGCTTGAATGTTAGAATCAATATATATTATATTTTATATATGTATATAATATATATATTTATGTTTAATTTGATCGATATATTTATGTATAAGCGTTTTTCAGAAGACAGGCATGAGAATCTCAAAGTTTTTTCTTTACGACCACCKACAGTGTTCAGATTGTTAATACAACAAATATATTTTAATAATWGAATGAATTATTTAGATGAATTATCTATCACAGAGTCAAATAAATATTAAAGTTCAAGTATAGGATTTAAAATTAAGAAATAAATATGTTATTAATATGTTAGGTAGTATAAAAAATAACATAAATATTTTTAATTTTAAATAATAAGACAAATATACCAATATTAGTCTGTACTTGGAAATGAAAATCAACGCAACGTTTGGAAATTTACCGTATAGAAAATATAGTGATTTATTAAAAATTGTTTAGTAATTGTATTTGGTGTATTCTGGTGTCGTTGATATTGACGGCGTGGACCTTGGCTGTGTGGACCTTGGTTGCGTGGGCGTTGAATTGTTAAACTTGAAAAAATTACACTGCACGGATGCTGTGTAGGCATTGCATTTTTATGCATGTTCTCCCCATTTAATGTCTTGTGTCTCGATGTTAGAGCTAGATGTCCGAGCGAGCTATGGGATACGCGTGTTCATTGTGRCATTGCGTATTCTATATAATATGTATATTTAAATTTTTCGTTTGGCCTAATCAATGTCATTACCCTAAAAATAGTGATTTTGGTTTTCACTGAGCTTAATCGGCRWGTTGCAGTCCGTGAGATATCCGTCAGCTAGTTGTTGAGTCGACTTCAGGGCTGTGCACTCTGCCACTCTGGAGTCGCAACTGGTCGACTAATGGTGGTTGTCGGGGTTGGGCTACAGTTGTTATATGACGCTGGTTGCAATACCGTTCTGCGACAAAGTTGTTCGATCGTGAAATAGTCGTTATATGCACTTGATTTCTGGTTCCTTCGAGTCTTTGTGTTGTACTGTTGTGTGTTGACGGTTGGAGGTTAGGATGAAMACTAACTTACGTTTTGTAACTGCACCGGTAAGTATWTTTTTTTTATKGAAAACCCCGATGCTGGTTGGTTGAATTTATCAAGAGAGATGARGGAATRTCGCACCCTTGCTTGCTATGGTATGAGTACTTGCTTARTGCGTTTTCCCTCATCAGCCTCTTGAAACTTATTCTTTACAAATCACCTTTGTCAGTTAACTTTCTCTAACAAAAATCTGTGATTATATTGTCAACATATTGTTTCGTATGTAGTGTTAGTCTTGAAATAGATCCTTGTAGGCGCGTATTTKCGGGTGTGCAGTTACACAGTTTATCTATTTTGATGGCGTTGTTCTCGGGAAAAGACGGATCAGAAAATATAGCATGTTTATTTTTTTATTTTTTATTTTTTTTTTAGGTCGCATGGCCAGTTACGCTTTAAGCGACGCGTGATAGAGAGAATTATCCAAAAGAGTAATAGAAAAGGAATTTGATATAAGGGGATTTGAGTAGGCTAAACTGCAGTAAAAGGAAACAATTATAGCAAAGGGAAAAAATATAAATGTCGTGATCGTTTTTACCAACACAAAAAATGTTTAAATTTCTATAAACAGCTTTATAAGATTCAAAATATTTTTAAAGTGATACCTACTTATGTATAGAAAATATTAATATAAACATTTGGTAGATAATTCCATTAGGTAGGTAGGTATAACTGAGATTATTCATGATTATTAAAAATATTACTGAGAAATGCCTATGTTAAATATCTCAAACTTAAAAGAACCAAATAGATCCACTTTGTCACTATAAAATATAAAAATTGAAGATTGATTTATTTGTAATACTCAGAAAGGTGATAAACTTATAATAAACACAAAAATTATATTATGCGCCAATAGTTCAATAATGACTTAGGCAGTTAAAGTGCTCAGAAAATCATGAAAACCACGTTTTTAAAAAATTATAAAAGTTATTTATTAATTTATGATTGGTACAAAGTAATTCGACAAGCATAATCAACCACACTTTTCCTTTAATAATGAATTCCTTCAAATTCTTGAATTTGTTATAGCACTTAAGGTGTTGCCGTGTTGGATAATCATCATACGTAGGTAGGTACTTTTTAAATTTAAAATATTATGTGAAACTGAAAAATAAGTTTACCTATGCATGTTAATTTCTTTTTCGAATTTAGATTCGTATTTGCATTATGAGCAAGTTAATTATATATAAAAAGTTTTTGGGGAGTTGTTTTTTGAATTTGACTAGATAGCTACATTTAAAGACAACGGCATATCTTGCGAAAAAAAGTCGGCGCACGTCTATAGTGCATGCAACGATACAGCGAGATKTATTATACATAGTTTATTAAGTACTAATTAGTATACATATTAACATATTAAATACTATTTAGTATTTATAAGCAATGCTTAGGTTAACTGTTTGATTGTTAGGTAGGTATACGTATACGCCGAGTGAAGAGATTCTAAAATTAGTGAAATTCTAATTTTTTTTTTAAATTCTAGATTTGTCATAGGCGTTCATAAGTGTTGTTGTTATTGTGGTTGTTGTTTGTCTTTATTGTCACGAATGGATCTTCGCAGGAAAAACATTTTTGTGTCCGTATATAATATTGCCTACATTTCGCCCCTTTTGTGCAGCTATCAAAATGTGATAACATAATTTTCATTATAAATTATATTATATTTTATTATAATTAGATTCAATGGTTTTATATATTGTTAAATTGAAATTGAAATAGTAAAATAAATTTAATATAATACACAATTCGAATAAAAACACGATATTCACTTACGGCCGTCATTTAA